GCAGCTGTTTACTAGCACAACCAGGGGTGGTACGTTGTTGCCATGTCGGCGGCTTGAGGGGCCGGCGCTGCCGCACGCCCGTCTGCTGAACCCGCACCTCTACCCCGCCCGCGGCCTCCTCACGATCTCCTCGGTGTCTTCTCCCGGGGTACGACGACGGCCATTGGCACCTCCACGACCAGTGCAGTCGTCTACTTCAGGCTGAAGATGCGGTTAATCCCCGCACGGAAGCTTGGCGTCTGCTAGCAGGAACATGTGCCGATCTCTTCTCTATCTTCGTCGGTAATTTCTAGACAATCCTTGTCCGAAGTGGGGTATTTGTGGCCAGAATCGTTCGTAAATAACTCTCCCCGAACCTGTTCAATCATTATCCGTTCTATTTTGGCGTTTAAACGGCAAATTTACCGCCTCAAACACTGTAAACAACATAACAAAGAAAGCACGCAGACGACGCGGCCATTTTTGAATACATTAGCGCGCAAAGGCTCATGGGATGACGTCACAGGGATATTGCGTAATGTAATGTTGACCCTTGACCCCTCGGCACTTATACCGCGGGTGGTTACTTAAAGTCCCCCAAATGAGTCATTTGGAAGTGGTGTATGCCAAATATGTGACTGCTATTCTGTAGACACACGTTTAAGGCGCCCTTATACCGAATTTCAGATCATTTGGTTGTAATACCAGGGCTCAGGATCCAAAAATCCATTTTTTGTCGAAAAATGCCCCAAAAAACCTTTATAAAAATTTTTCTAAGGCATGTATCAAAAAAATGAAAAAAACGCCTGGGGGTATTGGCCCACTCTACCTCTATGCCAAATTTCAGGTCATTTGGCTAAAAAATGACAGTTGAATCCCTTTGACTGTGTGGCAGGAGAAGGAGGAGAAGAAGGAGAAGAAACATGAGAGAACACAATATATTTCATCCATACCATGGTATGGACTGAAATATAAAAAGAGGATTCCTACCAACCGACCCTAAGTGTTTTAGGACTTGAAATGGAAACATGGCATTTTCCCCTAGGCCTCATCACTAATGTTTTGTATACAGTACCTAATTGTGTTCAATGATTATAGTTCTAGTTGGAAATTCTCTGTTGTTCACGTGCGTGTACAACAGCACTACAATGTGACACAAAACTGCCAAACATTGGCCAAGATAAGAGACAAGTTTTTAAATAATGATTAAAAAATTATTCTTCCAACAAGATGTTATTCCTTGTCAATTTGCCCTTGACTACAATATTACTGTTGTTAAATTGCCGTACAGAAAATCACCTTTCAGTACGTATTCATTCCTAAACTTTTCTCAAACACATTTGCTTTCTGGAAGAAAAATATTCGGCTCAGAAGGTAATAAATGATTTTATCACTCAGCAATTGTATGAAATACAACATAAGCAGCTTGTTTTTCTGGGTAACTATGGTAACAATAATTATCAACGACTAATAAATTCTACAGAAGTATTACATAGTTTACATATTGACTGAGGCTACATACTTGTACAGTCTTGTATACTAAGGAATCCATGACTACAGCACGACAGTTGTATGAGTATGTTACTGAAATTCTACAACATATAAGACACCACATAAAGAGCATTATTTTATTGTGTTAAATCAGAAGCGCCCAGCACCAGGGCACCCATCATTAACATAATATATCCATCGTGATGTCAACTTTTGATTAACTTACAGATTTCCCAAGTATGGCATTCCCATCTTTCACCATTAAGAAATCATAGAATCTTCGCATTAATTATGCACATTCGGTCATCATTTGCATAATTAGTATCTGTTGATGTTCCATATGCCATAGGTTACATACATTATATGTAGTAGGCATCCTTCCATCTCGAAAGATGATGGTAGCACTCTAGGTCTGGTGTTGTGGCCGAGGACAGCGTTTGGTGTGGCTAATCAGCCCTATCCTCGCATGGCAGTCCCGACCACAGTTGGGACACAGGAAAGATGAGCTGTTTTGAGCATGGAGTTTCATACATTATATGTATGAAAGTACTATAATGTAAAAAACAATGTAATTATAGAATTTCCTCATTAATTATGCAAATAAAGTCCTCATTTGCATAGTTCCAGAACAAGCTGCTAGGGGGACCAAAACCACACCACTTATTCCTGAAAGGAAAATCTATCTGTCACCAAAAAATGTAAAATGGGACTTTTTCGCTATTTTTGACCCAAAAAAGTACATTTTTGGCGCCTATGGGCTAATACGAAAGCCAAATGAGCAGAAATTCAGCATAAGTATAGCCACGATGGTCAAATTCGGGCCCAAATATTCCAACCTTTTAATCGAACCGAATCATGTTCGATATGACGTCATTCGAATCGAATCGTGTTCGATATGACGTTAATCGAACCGAACGTTCGTTCGATCCGGGGTCACCTGCGGTCGCATACCGTAAACCCGCGGCTTCAAGCCCGTTTTTACACGGGTACCACCTAACAGTAAAAAATCAGCCTTTTTACAAATATAAACCAATTTCGGGACAGAACATCTATGCCCTGTTTTATAGTTGCTATGTATCATGTAACGAAGCTACTGCCGTCATCGTGTGTGACCTTGACGATCGCAATTGTTGTTTACGGAGATATAAGTTACCCCCTGTACTTACTCACACTCCCTGACATGCTTGCAAACATGGTATTTAAACCGCAACAAAGCACATTCAATTTACCTCAGAAACGTTTTAAATTGTAGGCAAGGCACAAATCTCGATCTGTGTCGGACGGATTTTTTAAAGATGGCGGCATTCTGGAATTATCGGTCTTGGAAGTTGAAAAACTGCTTTTTTTGGCGAATTTTTAGGCCTTAGCAACACTTTAACTTTGAAATAAAGAAAACTGTCCGACTCAAATCTTAATTTTGTTATACTGTTCTCTAAAATGCAAAAATGTGGGATTTTCTGGAAGATTTGGGGTCGGTTTAAATCAGTTGTTTGGTTATTGACGTCGATTGTTCTAGAATAAGCATTTGACGCGTTGAGAGTGATTTCACACACATTTAAGCTTTGTAATAAAAACAACATCATATGAGGTACATGCCGTGCTGATTTTATCACATTTGGACAAGGGAGTCCCCATGAAACTGTTAATTATTGCTTAACAAAATGTTTACCGTTGAGACTGGCCCCACGGAAGCCGCGCGTGGAACCCCGGTAACCTGATACCCCTCCGTAGAATTGGAAACTTTACCCTAAAAATTGACCGCCGTGAGCATGGCACCAAATGCTTAGACTATAGTGTTCACTATGCAGATTCAACCCTTTCAAATACTTTTATTTACCTTATTTTGTGTAAAAACAGAGATTGTAGCTTGAAAGCCCAAATCCCCAACTGACAGTTCAAATAGAACTCTTCAGGGTTCTACCAGGGTTTTACATGTTCCAAAAGCAGAAGGGGTTGGAAGATTCCATTGCTGCATGGGGGTATAGACTGTTCATATTTTGAACAGGGGTGATTTAGGAACAATCCATCTGTGTAGGAGGGGGATAGGTCAGCTTTTGGTACGGGGGATGTGGTGAAGCCATGCTGCATTTACTCCTGACTGTTGGCCTTTCTAGGGGAAATTTGTAATGGGGAGGAAGAATGGGTAAAATGTGCTGTATTTGCTCTTGAGCACATGTCGGCCTTTCCAGTTTACACAATATTTTTCAATAATTTCTTGTCTTAATCAGGTCATAGACCCCCGATTTTTTTTTGCCCTGCGGTAGCATAGTTACTTCCATATTCGTTGCGTTTCGCTGCGGTGTGATGCGTTGCACGAGAAATACCCTAAAATTGTACCTATCCAGAGTATATAGATGGTACTGTATATAAAAAAAAACAATTGTTGGCCTCCGCAGGACAAGGGGTAAAAGATTTAGCAATATATAATTTGACCCCCCCCCCGTCCTTGGATGACTAAAAACACCGGTCTGAATAGGGTTAAGATTAGTCTGCTCGATGTTTTCATCATGTCAACTTAAAACAACTGCGAGCAATGCATATGCTGATGTGCTTTGATTAACAGTAGTCTTGTGATCTTTTTCACACGTCAGTTGCGACAGATCAGGTGGGTGGCTGTTCTGTTATTTTGTTAGGCCACACAAAGGAAATTTTATGGATGACGTCCGCGCGCGCATTGATTTTGGTCTGTTCCTAGAAAAAAAACAAGAAATTCACAGTCACATTGCCGCAAATCGTCAGATTGACGTGAAACCCGTAACGCGAAAGAAACAGGACAGGACGACAACTGCTGTTCCACCAGATTTATTGCTGTTTTGATGATGAATAAAAGACGTCTTGCTTGTTACACTGTGTCACCTCATTCAATTTGTGTCCTAACATTTGTCGTCTCTTAGTATATTTCTAATATAGGCATCTTGTTTTTAGGGCCCTCCTTGTTTTTTTCGGCCTCTCGCATTAGATTTAGGGTCTCCAAAGGACGTCATCCATAAAATTTACCTGGTGTGGCCTTATCCTAGCAAACATGGAAGTCCGCTACACTGAGGAGCCTTCAGGAACACAGCACGAAGACTTGGGTTTAGTCTGTGGCCCATGGCTGCAACACACTGCAGCTGATGTCTCCACATCTCGCCTGCTTCTCATGGGAAACAAGAAACAAGTGGACGGAAGGGACGAAGAATCAGACATGTATGAAGACGTGGATCCCCACGGAGAAAGCATTTTTGCAATGAGTTCTTTGTCAGCAAAGCAGTGTGATGAAGACGTGGCCGGTGGAAATAACGTTACCCCGCCGCCAGGACAGCTGTTGCATCCAAAAGTTGCTCTTATCCCAAACACGCTCTGAAGCACTTCCTGGATATCCCAAAGACGTCGCGAGCAGGACTGCACGTCCCGGATATCCCAGATGTGCTTCATTTGGAGCACATCTGGGATAAGCGGGGGTGTTTATCCAGGACGTGCACTTGGGGGAGGGGCTTCCTGTTTTAGGAGGCGGAGCCTAATGTCGCATGTGATTTTCGTGGTCAGAAGGCCGCCATTTTGTTCTCCAGCGCGAGGTTCGTGTAGAAACAATTCAGCTGCTGATTCTTTCTTACAAATCTAACCAAAGAAAAAGACACTTGTGTGTGCACAGCTAACATATGTAACTGTCCTAGAATGTTTATTGGGTAATGATTCAACAAATGTAAGGCACAATGGGTCCAGAAGTCGTCACACAAAGAAAGAGCACATTCTGGATACGTACTTGCTCTATCCAGAAGTCGTCACACAAAGAAAGAGCGCATCCTGGATACGTGACTGCTCTATCCAGAAGTCGTCACAATAAGAGCACATTCTGGATACGTGACTGCTCTATCCAGAACTCGTCACAGGCCAAAAGAGCGCATCCTGGATACGTACTTGCTCTATTCAGAACTCGTCACACAAAGAAAGAGCACATTCTGGATACGTACTTGCTCTATTCAGAAGTCGTCACAGGCCAAAAGAGCGCATCCTGGATACGTGACTGCTCTATCCAGAAGTCGTCACACAAAGAAAGAGCACATTCTGGATAACGTACATCTTTTTGCACTATTTGCCCTTCGTCCGATTCACTAATCTCAATTCCATCACGGATGTGACGTGTGAACACTTAATGTTAGTAAAGACAACATCTGTCATTGTAAGCACATTTTGTCGTTGTATTTCGTTAACAGTATTTTGTTTGTTTTTAATACCTTGAAGCAAATTTGTTTAAAAAAACCTCTTTGCTTGAAGCTATATGCAGAGCGAAACATTCGCACTGAAGGAAGTATTTCTCACCTGTACTTGCTAGGCAATTGTATAAAATTAAGGAGGATATTTTAAATATTTCTGATTTTTAACCTCCTTGGTAAAACCATTCTTTTGGTGAACGAGACGAGACAACAGCTTCGTGCAACTGTTTTATGTCTGAATTGCGTTTCCATCAGAGAATGGGGGACACGCATCTGTCACTATCGTGTTATTTTGTTTGTGACTAAAGAAGGGAGGTGCTAATTGATCTTATATCTTTCATAAAATCTGTTTAGTAAAACTACGCACATATCCAAGAACGGGGATAAATTTGTCGGCGCCATGTTTTGGATAGAGTGACTGCATATCCAGGATGTGCCCTAAATTCTTTTCATTACTGCATCATGAACATGTTGTACTCAAATGCAACATGGCAGATATCTATATATCCTGCAAACTAAATGCAGCAAGGCTTCTTATTTAAAAAAAAAGACACTCCACCCTCTAGCTCTTATACAAACTTTTATGTGACCCTTGAAGTCAAACATCTGTTAGATATACAGAAACAAAAGCATTACATGTTTTACAAGACATGTAGTGGTAATACTCAGAACATGTATGTTTTAACAGGACAGTTTAGAGAATGACATTGAAGAAAATATCCAATATTCAAGGCGCGGTGTGAACCTGCCAAAATATACTCTGGATAACTGACAAGGAAGTTCTAAGAAACAAATGTCAAAAAAAGCCCTGAATGCAACCATGTAAAATTGATGTGTTCTATAATGACTTAGGCAGACTGGACAGTCACATGTCTGGGTGTAAAAGCGGGTGGGGTAGCATTACACCCTTCATTACTGTTGTAGACTTCTTTAACACCGAACACCGTGAGTACCAGGTTGAGCATCAGCACTGTATTCCACATTGTTGCTTGTTATTAGTAGTTAGTACATGTATATCTTTTCGTAAAGAAATAAAAGCCAGGGACAAGCAACTGCCCAGTGTAAACAGTGTAAACACATTAAAGGTCTTCCCTAAAACCAGCTCTCCACACATAGTCCCTGGCCTCCTCCAGTGTGTCGATGCCTTTCTTCTTCTGGTAGATAGCTGCAAGTGCTTCTGGAAGTAGGACCATAACTTGATACTCTATCCGCTGTAGCCAAAAGAAGAAAGTAAGTAGTTTTAAAAAATCCACTGATTTTACACAGCTACACGTCAAGAAAAAATCTTGCCTGGAAGAGAGAAATTGCAACATGCATACGTGTGTTGAAATGAAACATTTTCATAATTAGTTGGCTTATTATATGTTGGGGTATTACTCCAAATGAGTTTGGTACAATACATGGGATAAAGCTTAGTCTAAGCTCAAACCCACTCTTCCTTACATGTAATACAGACATTGGAGGGCTAAGTGATGAGTGGTTTAGACTACTAAGTAGAGGTCACAAAAGTTTCTGCATCGATGTGCAATTACAACATATACATGTACATTGTTGCCCAGCTTTCCAAAAGAAGATAAGGTTTCTGCATATCCAAACACATAATATAGTGGATACAGTCTATTTAGACATCAAATCAAATAGCAGAGATTGTTATGATAATTGGTAATAAATAAGAAGAGGCCACCTACCATTGGCAGCTCAAGAGGAATCTTCACCTCTTTCATTATGCAATTGGCAATGAAGTTTGCCTGGTCCTCTGTAAACGCTCCGGATGAATGCTTCCTGTACAGGTCCCCTATGGTGAAGGACATCGGTGATAATTAGGTTGTATTGTATATACAAATTATAAAGATGGACCAGTTTAGTGCCCAGTTTAGTGCCCTTAGTTATGTTCCTTTGTGCAACAGGAAAAAATAAGCATGAGTCATATTGCTGGTGGTATATTCACTGTGTATTGAAGTGTGTATATGCGTCTATATGAAAAAAAATGGAAGGATTGCAGACTTGGGTTGCAGTCAACAAGTAAATTTGCATACACTGTTATTACTGGAAATAGTATTGAACACAATGACTTACTTCTGGTGGATTTGCCTTTCTCGTTATGCCCAAAGAACATGGAATGTCTTTCATTGTCAGGAACCTAAAACAGAATAAAACAGACAATGCTTTACTTATTTTTCCACACAAAGAGTAAACTGTAAAAAAAAACTGCACTGCGCTGTCAATGTCACTATGGATATTGTCATGTGGTTGTGCCACCTGCTGTGCTACTGTGTATTTACATGTAACGTTGTACTTGATTGAATTGTAATGTTATGTTTTGCAATGTATTTCGATTTTCGTATTAGGATGATTTGTTGACATGGTGGCTTTGAAAAAAAGGTGTCCTTGTATCCACCTGTTCCACCATGCTTACATGTATGCATGTGGTAAATCATAATAAATAAATAAATTAATAAACTAACCAAAATTGTCATTGTCATTGAAATTGTATACCTTACAGTTTGAACCAGAGAAATATTTTCTTTTAAAACTTACCTCTCCTCTTGCGAGTTTCTGCAGGTATGGCTTGACTTCGTCAAAGTAAGCCTTCAGCTCTCGCTCTTCACAAGACCCAAACCTTAACACAAAATAGAATGTAGGTGAGACTCTGAGGGAGATTTTTTTACTAAATCAAAGCCAATGTTTTAATGCCAATGTCAAACGTAAATGATATAAATCATGTAGAAATGTGCCTTTTTACATGTAGCACATTCTGGACAGAATTTACAAATCAAAGTAGTCAAAGTGACTTTCTTCCATTCCTTTCAAATGCAGAAATGTTAAGGAATAGTACATCCAGATAATTAAGTATCACAACAAAAACAACAGCATTGGAAGTAAAGTTTTAGTCCACATTTTTTTCTTTCATAGGACTTTAGCTGTGTACCTACTGTTAGAATGGGGAAACAATAAAATAATAAAAGTAAGGAAAGCTGCAGATCACTTTGGGTTAATATAAATACCAAACATGAACCAAAAAATTGTTAGTTTCCATTATGTAAAAACCTGAGCCTTAGTTTCCTTACAACAGATCAGGAGAATAATTTGCAAGAGCGTGAACTCTACGCTGCAGCTCTACAAGGTCACTGGGAGAATCTGCAAGCTGGGAAGAGGACATCAGGTAAGAGAGAGGTAAAACTACAGCAAAGAAAAGAAAGCAAGTACAATTTGGTATTATAGATAGGGTTGGCATCTATATAGCTAGAGCACTTCAGATATGAAAAGGGGGAGAGGCAGTTCAAATACAAATGTAAGCCTGATGGCTTTTTCCAACCCTGAACATTTCTTCTGTATATGTTACCTATTTTCTGTATTCTGTTTCATACAATCATGTATCTATTTTTTTGTGTTCTGTTTTATGTGCAAAATAAATAAACAAAACTAGAATACCTCCATAGCACCATTCTCTGATTGTCTGCGCAGCTTCAAAAACATGTGTCAAAAAACAAAAAAAAGCATCATTAGAAATTAATGATTCTCTTTTAACATCTGCAGTCAAATTGCTCAAAAGTTACATGCAGTGCCATTAGCACATGTACCACCTAGAGAGCATTTTTTTACATCTGGCACTAACAGTTTGTACATCAGTGAAGAGTAACGACTTACCACAGGTGGTGTATCCCCTACATACTCAGGTCCCAACAATCTGTGCAGGCTCATACGAATAGAAACCTGAAAAACAGAAATTTGACTTCAGTACTACATGTAATTGCAGAACACAAAGCTTAATAAACCTGGCCATATTTTCACCAATGTGTGAGAAGTGTTGTTCCTCAAAGTGAAAATGATGGGTTTCTGTATTTTTGGAAAATCAGCCAAATATCATTAGTCAGGGGTTGGGGGGTGGGTTGGAGTTTGACTGCATTGCTATACTTACAATTTGATACTTGACATACAAGGCAATTTGTACGGGAATAGTACCTTCAGATTCAATAAAACTTATTGAATGCATTCACACCTCATCATCATCATCACTCGAGCTGGAGTCACGGGGTGGTGCTGCACTCGAGCTGGAGTCACGGGGTGGTGCTGCACTCGAGCTGGAGTCACGGGGTGGTGTTGCACTCAAGCTGGAGTCACGGGGTGGTGCTGCACTCGAGCTGGAGTCACGTGACAACCACCCAGCTGTGCAGTGTATATTCAAAATTTACATGTTTATGCCACAGACATTTCTATAAAATGTTGGAGAGCACATTCCTTCAGAAATGTCACAATTTCATAGCAAGTCTTACTCAAATAAGGAGGTTTTGCTTAAAAGTACATTTATGATACTATACCTGTAGCATCAAGGCTTTGATAGTGATTTTCACAGTAATGTCCCAACAACAATGGGGCGCCATTACTGTTTCCATCAAATGGTTCAACGATGATAAAGCAGGTGTCCTCATCTCCGGCCGTGGAAACAATGTTGATTGTGCGTCGCAACAAGTCGGCTGTGGCCTGCACAACGATATGGTCTGCCCAAACACCATTCTCTGCCATCTTGATCAGGTACTCCTCTAGGCTGACTCCTGGTGTGTCGATGAAGGATGCTATGGGCTCGCCATCAGCCTGGGAGGATGTATAATAATAGCTATAGCTAAATGGTAAAAAACCATCATATTTTTTTTATTACATCCTTTTCTAAACAAAGTCTTCTCCAAACAAAACAATGAAAAAAAAACAATATTACCTGATGCAGTGAATGACATTGTTTCACTTGAACTGCTAACTTGGGTCTGTTTAAGTAAATTTTATGAGCTACATGGAATTCAAGGAAATACAATGTACAAGTACCGTGTTGGGATTGTCTCTGATATATGAAGTCACTAACTCCCTGATGTCTTCTTGGGCCATCTCTTCTGCACCTTCCTGTCTCAGTGCCTCCCGCTTCAGCTGGTCACTAATAGCCCAAAAGAAACAGTTTCCATCCTTGGGTGTTGGTGGTCGAAGCTTCATTCCAGCAGTTTGGGCTCTCTGCTCTAGAACATCTGGTCTGCTCCCTGTCTGCTGTATGGACTGGGACAGCTCACGCAGACCCACCTTCCTCCCTACAGGATATACATTCAAACAATACATAAGTTTTAAGCCAGTGTCTAAGCTTGAATTGTAAACATAAAACAGTGCCTGGTATGGTTAAGTTATAACATATTATTCTAACCATTTTGTGTAATGGCTTATCAAAATTGTAGTTAGATATTATATTCATTATACTCTGTGAACTCACATGAACATTCTGTCAAGGCACTGGAAACTGCTGCATCACTCCTGCTTGTGGCCTGTGAGTGGTAAAGGGAAAAGTGTACAAGAGGACACGAAATTTAAAAAAAAGCAATATATTGCACTCTGAAATACTATAGCTAGAGGGGAAAATTCATGCCACTTTACATGAGACAAAATCATTTTGCTATAATGCAAAGAGGTCTTTACCCGGAGCAGGATATGAGGCAGTAATGCTGTCAAACATAAATGCTGCCATATAATACAGGACCTGCATGGCTAACAACTAAACCAAGATCTCACCTCTACACCATTCTTGTTTTTGCAGTCCAGGTGTTTCTTGGCGCATTTGCATTTCGTCCCACACAGTTTCCCTGCCTTCCTGCAGTTGCAATTACTGCTGGAGCAAACTGGCTCTTTGCTGCAACCACAGCACTTCTGCCCTGGCACTGTCTTTGCAGAAACTTTCCCGTCTAAGGTTGAAACTGCTGCAACCAGGGTCACTTCTTGTACATCAGTGGCACCTGAGATTTTGATTAATATATGTCCTTTGTTTTACATGTACATACTATTAGATAATGAGTCCATGACAAACATTCCTTAACCGTATTGTAGAGGTATCCTCATGTTTTGTAGCAGGGAGATTAAGAGCCCCATATATAACTGATACATGGTTGCTGCAATAATCATTTCAAGATGTGCAATACAATAGACAAGTCTCACCTGTCCTTGGCTCCTGAGTGCTTTCTAATGGCCCTGTCTGTAGCTGGACGTTGGGCCCTCTTGTGTCAGCAATATCTGCAACAGGTATCACATTTTAAGACTTTCCAATGCACATGTAACAAGGCCTATGAAGCATGTATATTGCGTTTCACATGCCTTAACAATAAACTAATAAGGCCATTAAAGCTGAATACCTTCGAGTAAGTTTGGAGGGTGGTCATGTTGTAGGTGTCCTGTCTGGAGTTTCTGTGCACACTCCATGCAACATGAGGCATTGCACACTGTGCATCTCCAGTATTTCCACATAGGCCTTTGAAGTCCGCAGGTGCTACACTTGTGGCTGGCTGGCACATGGAGGTCTACAGTAAAAGAGAAAATTACATACAGAACAAAAAGTCAGGCTAAAGGTTTGAATAGCAAAGTGGAAATGCCAGTCATTTTACTATCAAATCCTAAGGGCCATAACAAAGCAGTCTACAGGTAAGGAAGGACATTGTCAAGTAGATGAACTTACAGACTGACAACTCTTTTAGTCTGCTGTCCTTGATCTGGGGCCAGATAAAACCTGTCAATGCAACTGGCACTATCCGAGCCGACAGCTTGCCACTTGCATCTGATGACAGGCAGGGAAGGTCAAACTTTGTGATTTCCTGTAACAAAACATGACAGTTTTGGAAACTATTTTTCCATGATCAAGCACTGCCAGAATTTAAGAATTTCTACAAACTCAAAAAAGCTAAGTGACATCAAGAATTTACCTTTAAATACGTCTGGATGTCCTCTGGACAGTCTGCTGGAACTTGAAGGGTCAACGTCTCCCTTTGTAGTGCGTTGACAAGCATGAGAACCACGCCAAGCTCGAAGGCAGTCTGCAGATGATGTGGGACATCCATCCACATATAGCTTTGAAAGGCCTGATACCACTGAATGAGCAAGGTATCACCTTTCTTTGAAAAGGTAGTTGGAGCACCTATAGCAACAAAAAAGAAAACCATCATGCTTTATTCCCTATGACACTGGATGTAAATTCATATCTAATCCATGTCAATGGACCCTTTGCATCAGAATGACAACCGCCACGACCAGCATAGGGTGTCAATAGGGATTGGATAATGGCTTCCAGCAGTTTGCGCACACCTTCCAGCGTGACTTCTACTTGCGGCACGTCTTCATACGGGCTAGTTCCCAGGCTGGGTATATCACCTACATTTTCATTTGTGAACACAGAATCATATTGCTGACTGAGGGCTTCTGCCTTCCCCTGTCCGTCAGCTACAAGGTTATTGTTATGAACAAGGGGTGCAACCCCTGAGGCGGACTGTTTTTTTGCTTTTAATGTAAGACCAGAATTTCTTAGGATTTGCCAGAGCTTCATCAAGTATCTCTTTTAGGTACTCATTATGTGCTTTCTTGATCCTTTGTTTGACTTGTCTACGGTAGTTCTTAAAATTTATCCAGTCCTGCTCAAGCACTGTACATCATTACCTCCATCTAGTTCGGTCGCATAGAACAACAACTCCTTGTTGTTCAGGCAGGCAGACAGAACCCGTCCTGTCATTTCCCTTTGTGCTCCATACAGCTTTCTCCAGGCAGCCATCCCAGACTCTGAGGCAGCCTGGGGCTCCGGACTTGGCCTGATTATGTTGATGGAAGTGACAACAAAAAGTTTTTAGTCTGATGTAAGGCAACATGATTTAGGCATTTGACAAACACACAGTCAAGTATCAAAATACCTTTTGACGATCAGCTGGGACACATGGTACTTTCTCTGTAGTACCATGCCAGTTGTTTTCCCTGTATCATCCAGGACTTCCAAGCTTAACATGTTGCGCTTCACATCTAGGACTCGAACCCCGACCTGCCGTCGGTCAGTACGGGCTGCACGACGTTCTTTGATGTCTAACTTGAGATAGCCATCATCACCTGCCTTGACAAAATGAGTCTGATAAAAAGAAAAGATTATCAATACCTTACTGGTTTAGTGTTTCAGAATGCCTTCTTAAACATCCTACTGGAAATACACCATCTTTTGTACAATGTACATTAATACATTTTACAGTACAATGGAAATAAAGTATAATTGTTCAAGCATGAATTTTGAGCTTCACACATGCTTTGGCAACACCAGCTGTACAACAAGAAGACATTGCCAACATGTTAGAACATTTGTACTGGAATATAAAGCTGTCATATACAATTATTTTGACTATTACGTACCACTTGCTCATTCCTGGTCGCTATCCTCCCCTCTGCAAGCAGAGATGCCACGGTTGGAGCTTCTGTTACGGAAGAAACCTCAGCCAGTGCCTCCTCCATGTCATCACTGAAAGTCCACTTGATTTCATGCTACATGTGTACAAAGAGCAGTATACACGTGAGTGACGATTGTAATTTTTTTCCTCACAATGCTTAAGAGAGCAAAATCTTTTGTTTATTTCAATCACTGTGAGTGATATGTTCAGAAGATGTGTACATGTACTTTACCTGTTGAAGATAGGTGGGTCTGTGTATGTCGTTAGCAGGTCAGCTGAACTGTCAACGTTGACTGCCTCCATTTGGTGTCTCCTGGTTTTGTACAGCGGATACCAAACATCCACGGGACATAGATTCCTTCCCCGGAAATGTAGAGATTGATGACAGGAGCTTGTAAGTAAAGGAAAAGGAAAACAAATTGGAAACTAGAAAGTCAGACATTTGCTCAGGAGCAAATACAGCATCTAACTCATTTCAATCCATCTTCCACCTCATTCCAAAATGCACTGTTCCAAAGCACTCTTTTCCATGCAGTGCTCTCCTTCACCATTTCACATTTGGCCTACAAAATGTCGAATCAATTTGACTAAATGATAGGAGGAAGAATGGTAATAAATGTCATCCATAACATGGTATGGACTGAAATACAAGTAGAAAAGAGAGCATTTTCCACCTATTTTCTTTTCAATTTACCCTGAGGTCATAAGTACATAAAACAAGTATAATTCACAAGTATATTCAGTATAATTCACATATCAGGAGAGAAAAAAATGAATTAACATGATATTGCACAGTAAAACCAGTATCAATGGAAAAACACCCACTTGTTGTAGTCATACAGTGCCTTCTGTAGTACCTCCTGGGGAGTTAGGTTTGCACTGCTGTCCATCCTGCTCTGAGCCAGGAAGGCTGCAACCTTAGACTTTATTGTCTGGATTCCCCTCTCAAACCTGCCACCTGTTGTGGGGCTTCTGGGGTTGGCGAGGACAATCTCAACCCCCAGGGCCTTCATCAGTTCTCTGTAATGGGAAGAAAGAGGACACAAGAAACCTAATGATGCAATTATGTTCACATGATAACATACTTTGGGTTAAGATGTTGTTAAATGTACTTCAAGATACAAATGCTTTTCATGACAGATTTCCCTCTAATATAAGTGAAGAGAAAAATCTAAGTGTTGGAAATTAATTTTATTCTATTTATTCTACTAATAAAGATATGGTTAAAGCATCAAGGTCACAAGGTTCAATCTTCATAATTACATTAAGTTTGTAACCATAATTATTAAAGATGAAAATTTAATTTCACTGCGTGCAATACTGTGTAGGGTAAGACATGACATTGAAAGATATTAAAGTTGATTGTACCAACCTGACAACATGTGACACAAACTCGCTGCCATTGTCACTCTGTAACTCCTCCCATACAATCCCCAGAGTGAGACAGAGATTGAGTAGAACCTTAGCAACTGTCCATCCACATTGGTATCTGTATTGGGCATCACCCAGCCCCAGGCAAATCTGGAAAGAAAGCAGTAGAGTAGGCAAACAAAGAGGATTGTCATTTACTGACATTGCTTCATATCACATTATACATGTACCTGACTAAATAAAAACACATGAACAAAGAATGCAAAATCTTTGTGCAAGGTCATATCTGTAAGATAGTGAAGTTGAAAGTCCTACAAGTAATAAGGCTGTACAAGTTTAGATATACAATGGAATAGGCAGGGCTTGAAATTCATTTTTTGGGAATACATTTTGTAGGTGCACTGGTGCACCCAGTATTTTGAGCCCTGGTAGGCATCAATTAAAACTTATAGGATATTGTTCTGTAGTTTAACATATTGGTATGTACCTGCTGAAATAGTCAATTGCATACAGAACCCTTTTTTTGGGTGTACCATCGTGGAAGTCTATAGTTGTGAAGTCAATTCCAAGTCTTCGGAACATCCTGTTAATGCTGATTGGCTGATTGTGTTGGATATCCGTGTTAGAAGCCTGGAAGGAAACATGATTTGAAGACAGTGGTTGCAATTCCATCTTTCAATTCTTCATATGCAACAGCTTTTCAGTTCAGTTCAGTTTATCCTCATTTAAGGTGACGCCATGTAATTCCTCCATGTAATGCCTCCATATAACAGCTTTTAGTACATAAAGAAACATTGCATAATAAGAATTTCAGTCTTTGTGAATTACATTAGTCTTATTAGCTAACACAGCATCATAGGTTGAAAACAGATAATTATTCTTGAAGTCTTTTAGTTTTACAATGATAGAAGACAAGAAAGCGAAGCATAACTACCTTGTATGTGCGGCAAACTGTGCAGTTGTTCACATACTCTGCAACCTTTGCCGCATCATAATGGTCATAAACTGTTGAAAGCTGGAGAATAAACAGAAAATGAAGGGTAAGACTATTAATGCAAATTGTGTAAGCTCCTCATTATGACACTTATTACTATCTTGGGCAGTTTTCTTCTCGGGAGATGGTCTGTTATATACATGAGCAAGGACATTATACAGTATAATGTAGTATAATGTCCTTGACATGAGTTATATCTGTCCCACTGTCTCTTTGTATATTACAATGTTATGTTTTGTTACCTTTCTATGAATTTTCCTCAGGCTGACTGAAGGGGAGCAGCCATTTATCTATTTCTGTCATATTTAACTTTAAATTTTAACATGGCCCAGTTCAGTGGTGTGAGCTGTCTACATTACCAGTCGGGCCCCTGAATCACAAATAACAAAGTTGACAAAGTTCATAAATGAACAGAGTATGTACAGCTGCATCAAGCATGCCAATTTAACATTCAATTAATATTTCAGAATACATGTAGTACAAGTGCCTGAATAAAACAAGGACTCTTTCAGAGAGTAATTTCGTGCCATGTGGTAAATATTGTTAGCAACTAGCCCTCGGATTTTCCCCTATAATTTACTATTAGCACTGCACTCAAGTGTTACCTTCCGTTTCATGGCAGTGATACCAGGATGTGAGGCGCCATCATGGTAAAGCCGCATGACCTCCTTGAAGTCTTCCTGGATCATCACCAGTTTGTCTTTCTTCCGAAGCTGCCCCTCCACACATGTATATGCCCTCGCCTTGCGTTGAAAGTTCAAAGTCTGTCGTTTGGACTCCTCACTTCCCCTCAGGCCGAAGGGGGCGCCGTTGTGTTCCTTGGTGGACAGAATCTGGAACACCTCATGTCCCCAGTCAACCGACTTTTGTGTGGCCCTGCCCAGGTAGTAGAGCAGGGCATCGGCCTCTGCTCTACTGATCAGCACTGGAAGAAAACAACGGACGTAAATTGTGGATAGATGCGAGAATCCAGAATCCCTGACCCCCTCCCCCCCACCACGCACACACACACAAAAATTATATGCAATAAAAACACATTATTTTTGGTCTGTGTCTACGTGAGAAACACGCAAATGTGAAGCTCCCTGCCCCAATCAGACGTCCTAACTGCAATCTACTGTATTTTAAACTACAACAGCAAAAATTTTGTCTTACTTTCGGTGGAAAGTGTCCTCTGGATACGCCAGCATGCATCCAGCCCGCGAGAAGTTCTTTCTAACTTTTTAAACTCTCGTAACTCGAAGTCTCGCGAGGTCTAGCGTGTTCGAACCAAATATGGAAAACTGGGCGTGAAAATGACTGTTTGCGGTCCTGTCAATCATGTTGATTGACTGCACCGTGGTACCAATCAGCGCACGTGGCTGCACCGGAAGAAGCACATTTGGGATATCCCAAAGTGTCGCCGATTGGCGACAAGGCTGGATAGAGCATGTTCTGGATACGTCAACAGCCTTACCATTTTGATAACCAGAAGAAACCCGCTGACGGAGTTGAGGACGAATCGGAAAGAGAGTACGAAGACGTGGATCTAGAGCATGGCGGTGTAAATGTGATACCTGGCCCGGGGCCGCTAGAAGCTGTGCCCGATGAACGCCCGCCTCGTCACCCTGACACGGCAGACGACGTGGTGTACCCCGGAGAAGAGCACGATAAAGAACCGAACCCCGACACGTCCTACACAGCAGATGATAACAACAGACAGGAAGATAGAGACGCACGTGGCTGTCGTCACAATTTTAGAGGTATGTGCAAATAAATTTGCTCGTCATAATGAACATTTACCTTAATAACAAGTAGTTAAACATACTTTAGATGCTTCACCATGCAAACAAACAAAATATATACCAACATTGTATATAATACTGATTTTTTTTAGATACAGAGAAAAAACAATATTGCACTTGGGTTTTTTATGGCTTCACCACAAAGTGGTGAAGACATATTGTGTTCCCTCATGTTTCTTCTTCTCCTTCTCCTTCTCCTCCTGCCATTTCTTTAAATGGATTCATCTCTGCCATTTTCCGGCCAAATAACACGAAATTTGGCATGAAGGTAGAGTGGGCAAATACCCCGACGTGTTTTTTTCATTTTTTTGAAAAATTGTTTTATTTGGTTTTTTGGCCATTTTCAGGCAAAAAATATACATTTTGAGATCTGGTTCCCAGGTACTAAAACCAAATGACCTGAAATTTGGTATGGGGATACCTTGGACATATGTCTACAAAAAGTCATTCAAGCTTTTGACATACACCACTTTAAAATTGGGGAAAATAAGGCTTTTTGGCTATTTTCGGACCCAAAATGTACATTTTTGGCTCCTGTGCCCTAATATTAAATCTGAATGACCTGAAATTCGGTATGGGGATGCCTTGGACACGTGTCCAAAGAATGCCATTCACGCTTTTGACATATACCACTTTAAAATTTTTATTTTTTGTAAATAGGGCTTTTTGCTATTTTCGGACCAAAAATGTACATTTTTGGCTCCTGTGCCCTAATATTAAATCCGAATGACCTGAAATTTGGTATGGGAATACCTTGGACACATGTCCAAAGAATGACATTCACGATTTTGACATACACCACTTTAAAGTTATGTAAAATAGGGCTTTTTGGCTATTTCCGGCATTGGAATGTTCCATTTCTGCATGGGGGTGTAGACTATTGGCAGCCATCGTAGGATAGATCCATTTTCGGTATGGGGGATAGGGTGAAGCCATCTGCTGCATTTGCTCTCAAGCAAATGTCGGCCTTTCTAGTCTTGAAATTTCTTTTGGTCTTGAATATGAATTAAAGGGGCATTATATAACATTTTTGCACCAAAATTGAAATATTGAAAAAGTATTCTTGTGATTATTATTTATATAACACTTTTCAACATATTTGAGCAATTATCTCACATTTCTGACATTTCTGGTTGGCCCCACAAACTGATTGTGCCTCGTGTAAAAAAAGAGCCCACACGAGGCACAATCAGTCTGTGGGGCCACAAATTACCAGAAACAAACATGGCTGACAGCTTTTAAATAAACATGCAAGGCGTCATATGTTGTCACCTACACTTCGGAATGGCACCTATTTGAAATGGTGTAGCCAAGGGTTGATTTAACTTAGTTTGTATAGAAATAGAAATGACTAGGAAATTTACCTTGTATCGCCCTAATGTCACATGAAGCAGTTTTAAACACACGGTCCAGTCTTTTAATATACGAGTGTAACTTTGCAGGACTAAGATGTTTGTATTTCAATAAATCCTAGATGGCGCAAGGGAAATGTGGAACAAGAGAAAGTCCAGTCCAAGGTTTTGGCTTGCACTGTGCGGCGGCCTTCTGGTGATAATTGCTTCAGCTGTAGCGCTGGCAATCCTGGCACCTGGCGAGACGGTAAGGCAACTAGTCTTTGATTTTTATTACCTTCGCCAAGAAGGTTATGTTTTCAGTAGCGTTTGTCTGTGTGTGGGTATGTGTGTTTGTGTGTGTGTAGTTTAGCAAGATAACTCGAGAAGCAGTAAATGGATTGGAATGAAACTTGGTAGGTGGGTACGTCTTCATGAGACCTAGAAATGATTAGATTTTGGGCCCCCTGGTGGCTTTCCTAGGTACTGCAGCTGAACTTCCGGTTTTGATATCTCATGTTCTGGACATGCTAGGGTCACGAATTTTGGTTGGTAAATAGCTCTTGTGGTAGAAAAGAAGTGACGTGAGTTTGGGTTCCCTAGCGCCTTGTTCTGGAACTGCAGGAGCATTTGTTGAAAAAAATTTGAAGGACGATAACTCAAGAACTGGTTGACGTATTGTCGTGATTTTTGGTATGTAAGTAGTATAAGTGATGCTTGACATGATCAGATGGCAATTATGCAAATCAGGCGCTAATTTGCATAATTAATGAGGAAATTCTATAACTCTGCTTTGTTAGATAATAGAACTATGAAACACTTGTGACATCTACTGGAGAACGAGAAAAACATCTGAGGATATATATTATGTAAATGAGGACCTAATTTGCATAATTAATACTTATAATTTCATAGTTGTAACTGCTGCACCCCGAATTTCATACTTGCCACATTTGGAAGTTAAGTGAAGGTGAACATCAACAAACATAATTTATTCAAATCATGACCTCATTTGCATAATTTATGAGGAAGTGCTAAAATAGCCTTTTTGTTATGATAAGGCTGTCATTGGATGAAGAATATGATCAACTGACATAGTCCATGCAAATGAGGCTCTTATTTACAAAATCAATGATTAAAATTGTATAATTCGTCACCCGCAAGGGTTAACCTCATTTGGCAAAGGTATGAGATTGTGGAACTCTTGTTGAATAGTATTCTTTTATTGATCCAATTTTATGTCAATTTTCATTCTAAATAATAAATAATAAATAATAAATGATAAATGATAAATGATAAATGATAAATGATAAATGATAAATGATAAATAATAAATAATAAATAATAAATAATAAATAATAAATAATAAATAATAAATAATAAATAATAAATAATAAATAATAAATAATAAATAATACTTTTCTAGATGTTTCAAAAAGAGAGAAGAAAGGGCAACTAACATTAGGTGATAGGTAGCATATAGTATTGTTGTAATATATAGTCTCCTAGCACTTAACATTAGAACATAGCGTTCCAGTATGCAATACTCATATTTTCTTATCCTCTCGACCACATTTGGTCACATTTGTGCAATTAGCCCACCTTGGCAAGAACATGCAATAAATAAAGATTCAAATAAAGATTCACTATTTTTAGATGGCACCTGACTCAAAGAATGAAGAAGGTATGGTAATCGGAGGTAACCAGAAGAAGTCAGCTACTCCTTCGTTGATGACATCGGACCAGACAAGCGGCTCTACCGTTGTCAATTCCCCCTCGACGTTCTACTCAGCTTCACCTCATTCACCTACCTTACCAACAACAACCATGGAGTTTCGGTCAAGCAGTGGTAAGTAATCATGTTTCAAATAGTTTCAAATATTAAAAAAACAGCCACTGAATTGGAAAAAAATTTAAACCATGTTGACATAATAAACTGTGTGCACAAAGATAGCAGATACAAATATCAAATTTAATTCATCTAAAATTTAATTCTACGTTACCCAAGTACAATATATTTTTGCAAATCAGGAATTAATTTGCATAATTAGTGAGGGTAATTAGCTCCATGATAGGACCTTAAACGTATGACATATGTACCTAAGAAAGAGATTAATATTACTTTGTACCTAATTTGCAAAATTAATGTCATAATAGCATAGTGGTTGATGAAAATGTCATAATAGCATAGTGATTGATGATAATGTCATAATAGCATAGCGGTTGATGATCATGTCATAATTATTATAGCATAGTGGTTGATGAAAATTTGAGGAATTTCTAACGTCTAGACATCGTTCTTGAATATCTTTTCCTATGTATGCCATGCAGGGGTTGTCATATGTCATTAACGTTATATACAACTAACAATGTGCCAACACAAGCTACTCAACTCGACCTGACTATGCAAATGGACCCCACACTGAGCCATAATACAACATGTGACCCTGCGTCAGACATGTCCGAAACTCTCCTGAATTCGAACTCCAAAAACCTACTGACAATAGCACACCTCAACGCCCGGAGCTTACTTCCTAAGATAGATGAACTCAGATCCTTATCATCTACCATGCAATTTGGCATTTTATGCATAACAGAGACTTGGTTAAGCGATGAAATAGCTGACAGCGACATTGCACTGGAAGGATACCAGGCGCACCGCAAAGACCGAAACAGACGCGGAGGTGGCGTTATGATTTATGTCAGTGATTACCTGTACAATACAAGGCGTTGTGATCTGGAAACTGATGAGTTAGAATCTATATGGTGTGAAATTACAAAGGCCAACACCAGTCTTCTAATCAACTGTACATACCGACCGCCTTCGGCGGATGATACTTTCTTCGACTCTTTTGAAGGTCAAGTGCGACTAGCCACGAACCAAACACAGTCTATTAAAGTCATTCTCGGAGACTTCAACGCTAAGAACAGCAACTGGTTAGCCAGCAACACGACTGACAACCCGGGGCGTCAACTTGAAAACCTCTTCTTGAATCATGGACTGGAACAGGTACTTCATGAACCGACTCGGGGAGGGAACCTACTGGATCTGATAGCGACTTCTCATCCAGCAAAGTGTTACCAGACGGGTACACTAGCGCCTCTTGGCGACTCCGACCATCTAATAACGGCCACAGCACTTACCATACAGGCAAGCCAGCACAGCGGTAAACGTCTAGTTTGGTTATACGACAAAGCTGACATCGAGGCCCTTCATCAAGACATCGCAACAGCCCCCTGGGATATAAATCTCATCTTCGACTCTATGGATGACGTATGGGATTCTTGGTACAGCATGTTTATTGCTATATGCGAACGGCACATT